AGAAAAGTATCAATAAATAACAATTTCCTCATATAATGGCAAACTTTGAGGAAAATCTATCCATACAATTATCAGTTACAATATGGTTACAACTTAAAAAAACTTTATAAAAGATGAGTGTTTGTGTGTTTTGTTATGTCTCTTTTGGTTATACTGCATCCCGCCATTGTGTTGTTGTGCTGTGATCATTTTTTGTATTCTTGTCTTTCATTTTTGCTGAGGTGCTTTTTCTATATGCCATTTTGTTTTTCTTTGTTGATATATCTGTTGGTTTTTATAGTGATAAAGATTATAACACAATATTGACTGCTGTACCCCTATTTTTGACATTTTTACCTGTTATGTCTGTTTGTTTTGTTTACACATTGTTGTCGATATAATGGAATTTTATGCAACTGTCATACAAGTGAGAGGTTTAGCTAGCTATAAAACTAGGTTTAATCCACCATTTTCTACATAAGGAAATGCCTGTACCAAGTCAGGAATATGACAGTTGTTTTCCATTCGTTTGATGTGTTTGAGCTTTTGATTTTGACATTTGATAAGGGACTTTTCGAATTGAATTTTCCTTTGAGTTCGGTATTTTTGTTATTTTACATTTACTGAATAGTTAAAGATGTTATGAATTTTATCCAGTTAATTATATATCTTGTTAAGAAGTGAACAAAGAAATGGAATATCCAGTTAATTATATATCTTGTAAAGAAGTGAACAAAGAAATGGAATAAAGCAGGTTGGTCATATATATTTTTTGTTCTTTTTTATGCTATATACAATAATTTGCTGTCCTCTTTTTTAAAACAGGTAAAAACTTGATGTCCTATAACTTATGACTATAAAAACAGTACATGTAGGTTTCATGTACACACCCTGCATGGCCAATAAGTCCCATGACTTCAGAAAGTTTTGACCAACTGACTGCCTAACTTAAATTTGATCGTAGGGAACACTGGGTTTTTTTCACACTCATAATGAATTGAAACCTTTCTACATGTACAAGTTAGTTGTGTCATCCATGCACATTATATGCTATAACATAAATAGGATATCAAAGGTTTGGTCTTTTAGGACAATCTTTTTCTGTTATTGTAAAATATAATTACATATGTAGATAAAGGGATGGTATGGGCTGTTAAATGGCTTGTATAGATAACCTGGACTTTTTGAAAATGATTAAACATGCATAAATGATACTCCCTAACCCAGGCCCTGACCAATGCTCAATAATTACCAGAGCTGAATAAGTTTTCAGAAAAGGCTTATATGTCTTATATGTGTTTAAAGTATTTTGATAGTATGAGCTTTTACTAAACACTTAAATGATCACTGTGCAAAGCATTTGAAAACAATTGGACTTTAGACATGTATATGATGTACATGCATTATTAACATGCCTTTAGAACCTTTTCTGCTACTTACATGTAACTGAAATAATTTGTGTCAAACAATCTTGAATTTTACATAATGCTCTTCATGGATTATCAGTTTTGTAGTAATTTGCACCTATATAAGACATGATGCATCACTATTTAGCGCATTTTACAGAAAAAATTCCAGTATGCAGTTTAAAATGAGTCACAGGAATAATGAATCTTTATATAAATGATCAACAATATATGATTCATTTTTGTAGCAAAAATAAAAAATTTCAACAGAGTCTAAATAATGAGACATGCATGGTTATATACAAACAAAATTAGGGATCATTTTTAACTTGACATATTGCTTTAAATAACTTCTTGCTACTTGTCAGGCATCTTTCAAAATAACTTGCTGTATCTTTATAATGTAGATATAAAAATATAGATAGAATAAAAGAAATGAGCTGAAACTTTAAATTCTCATAACTATTGAGCACTGATACATAGTGTATATCATTAAAATAGTCATAAATATAAAACATTGAATTGGGGGTTGGTCAGGATAATTCAGACTACTTAACATATCCAGATCAAACTATCTTAAGATATATAAGTGCAGAATGCAAATTTATATGTCATCGAAAATACTCTGCTGGGACTGTGAACATTGTAAAAGTGATTGGTTAGACATGGGTCGTCTTCCTGTATGCACCAATCTATCAAGATTTAACTGTACATTGAAAGTTTTTATTGTGTGCAGTACTCATTATTATTACCTAGTGCAACTTTACTGTTGATATCTCAAATTCTTCCATGCCGCTTGCCGGTTGGTACATTGTTTAGGTGCTTATATTTTTTTTGTTCATACACATTACTTTAAGAATGGACCCTAAACCACTATAATTTATGTTTACTGCATATTTTAAATGTAGAGGAATGACTCACATTTCACAGTCCAGATTGTCAGCTAAAACACCTAACTCTACATTTCTTCTGCCTTTTCTCCCAACATCAGTATTTGGTGTAATATTAATGTCATCCTCGTCAATCACTTCTTCGTGAATTAAGTTTGACATGTTTGGTATTGAATAAGGTGCACGAAAATTGGAAGCATACTGGTGGTCCAAATTTTGGTTAAATGTCCTTCTCATTTACCCTTTTCTAATAGATTTCAGTTTCCTTTTCTTCCTTGGCGAATTAAATCCAGACTTAAGCTTCCCCATTCTTAAATCGATATGCAAAATTCAAATATATAAAATAGTTCAAAAACGTGTATAAAATATAGAAAAGTATCAAACGCTATAAAAGTAGGAGTGAAACATTCGTCGGAAATGTAAACAAAAATACCGGAAGTTCCGAAAATGTACATTTTATTGTCGATTAATTTCTTATTTATTTTTTAAGAAACATTAAGGAGAATTCTGAAAACGAAAAAAAAGGCCCTTTTTTCTTGATAAAACCATAGATCTTTTTACGACATATCATTTTGCATAAGGGTGCGCCAACTTTGCCAAAATCGTGACTAGCGAACATCCATAATTCAAAACTACTCTTTAAAACACTACAAGGAACATTTTGTGTGACACTACGGGAATTTACAACATATATTAACAATAAACTCATCATGGATACCAGGATGAAAATATAAAATTTAACGCCAGACGCGCATTTCGTCTACACAAGACTCATCATTGACGCTCGAATAAGAATAGTTAGAAAGGGCTAATAAAGCTACATATACAATATACAACATGTTTAGGAACAGACTTTATTTCAATAATTTAGGAGTGCAACAACAGGCTATTATTGACATCGATATCATATTATGTAACGGCAAGAATAATCAAACTTTATTGATCCCCATTTTGTAACTGTTTAAACAATATTAAATTTCAATAACAGTGACCTTTTACAACTATTAAGATCAAGGTGATGTTTTGCAACATGTCAATATGACTGAACTATTTCCATGACTATAAAAATACTAATTTCCTTTATTTCAAACGGATACACATATTACTACATAAAGTAAAACATTCAATAATAAAAATACTAATACAAATATCAAACTATTATACTGTGAACTATATGATACATACTTATGTATTTGAAGCATGTGATCTATGACTAACTATTTAGTTAGTGCTAACTGATATATAAAAAAAGATAATTACATGTATATTCGTATTTCAAATATTGGGTTCCAAATGTGCTTCTTGTAAATAACTATCTCATTCCATCAACCTAACATATTGTCAGTATATGTGTAATTGTTTGTACTCAAATGTTTCTTTTTTTGGTGTTGATGTTGGATCTGTCCGATCCATTTATTTTCACATTGTCTTATCTCTGGGTGATGAGTGGCTGATAGACTGGTTAAGATCTTTGTCTAACGAGGAAGACCTTTTAGATTAATTGTGTTTATTTTGTGTTGTTCGTTTGTTGTCTTGTACAATTTGTACCTAATATCTCCATCAAATATTCCATCCTACTTAGCATGTGTCAGTGATTGTCAGTATTCATATTTTAATGTTTCTTGTCCTTATTTGGTGTTGATTGATGATCTTCAATATTCCTCATCATTTATTGTTTAACTGTCTTGTTTCTTGGTAATTCAGAGCTTACCTACAGGTAAAAATCTTTCGCTGAAGACCCTCCGAGATGTTAAGTTTAATTTTTAATTTAGATTTGTGTTTTTCGTTTGCTGTTTAATCAGCTGGTGCTTAATCAAATCAATCTCCATCAAATATGTCAAAACAGTAGGCAATTACGAATAGATTCTAAGCACTGAATATTTCACAGAACTACTTTTTGCAAATTCAAAACAAGCTAAGAATGGGTCAAAATAATATTTTTCTATCAAATTAAATTTCATAAATATGTTTTTATGTTAATGATCACCTGGGTACAATAAACAATGTAATTGTATGTACTGTTATCAATAAGTCTATAAAGCCAAAGTAAAGGTTACAAGGACAATTTGTAAACATGCTAGCTTGAAAAATAATAATGTGCGATAACAGTAACCTTTTTCAGCTTTATAGATCAAAATCATGGCTGTCTTTGCATTATTTCTTCAGAAATGAACCATCAAAATACCTAATTGTGTAATAGACAATTACAAATCGGTCCAAGCAATAATGGATCAAACCATATTTTCCTATCAAATAAAATTCCAACAATTTATTTTTTCTGTTTTTGATAACCTAATTACAGTACACAATATAAGTGTCTGTACTTTTGAAATCATCGCACCATGTAAACACTAATTAGTACCGTTTTAATTGCATCTTTAAATGATTTTAAACAAATATCAGATCCTATGGTTGATAAATAAGGGCAAACTTTAAATTAGCGAATTGATCTTTATCTTGAATAAGATCAGATGCAGTGAATGAACAACAAAAGAAAGGCGGAATATACCAAAGGGAATTAATCAAACTCATAAGTCGAAAACAAACTGACAATGCCATAGCAAAAAAACGTACAAAAGACTCCGTAAACAATCTACATTAAAAGAGAGGCGGAAGATACCAAAAGAAGATAATCAAACTCATAAGTCGAAAACGAACTGACAATGCCATAGCAAAAAAGATGAAACGACTCCTTAAAAATCAACATTAACAGTAACAAAAAATATAAATGTTATAAATTAATTTTATTGATTTTTATGTACAGTTGTAGAAACGATACCACGTGGTCTGTCTTGATTCCAAGATAAATGACAACAGTATTCATTGACTTCAAACGCAAGAATTTTATACATAAACTGTTCCTATTGTCCAATCTCTCAAAAACATTTGAGTCCGTTTACGATGTAGTTTTACCGGTATCATTGAAAAATAAAGTTGTCCTTAGTTCCTCAAAGCAATTATGTAAGTCAACGCTGCTGACGTATACAAATTATCAAGTATCTTTACTAAACTCAGTCAACACTGCATTGATAATTTTTAATTATTCAAATGCAGCAAAATTTAAAACCCACACTTGGTAATGTGAGATACGTTTTATTCACCAATCAGAAACCTCTTTCTGTATCTGACAAGATGAATAAAACGTTGAACTCGAGCTCGGTCTGAATGATGACGACGTACAGTATGTGGATGGTGTAATGCATGATTGTCCTCCTGATTGCGAAACGGGAAATAATGAATCGCTTCCGAACGACTGCATGACTGCCGGAAATTGCGTTCTTATCATTTCGAATGTAGATACAGGAGACTGAATAATTTGATGTGGGTTATGAGGTTTGGTATGCATTAAGGATTCTTTGTATGAGTATGGGTAGAATCCAATTTGCGATGATGTCATAGGTACATATCCATTATTATTCCGTGTGTAGAATTTATTAGATGAATCATCGGCAGTTTTTACAGAACTTTTTCTAGCTCTTCGTCTTGCATTTCGGCGCCTGAAGTCTCCTTTTGAAAAATCCGCTATACATGCTAAGTGAATAGACCAATAGTTGCCTTTGCCATTATTGGACCTACCACATTTCAGGAAGCACTCGTTTAGAGAAAGATTATGCCGTATACTGTTTCTCCATGCTTTTTCTTTGTTATTGAAGAAGGGAAAATTATCCATTATGTATTGATATATGTCATTGAGTAACAGTTTCCTGTTTGGTTTACTCAGTATTGCCATTGAAATCATAGCTATATAAGAGTGCGATGGCTTCTCATGGGTATCACTGGAAGATGATCCATTCTTTATTGATCTGTCTAACGATAACTGAACCTAAAAAAAATGATAACAAATATAATAGAAAATAAAACAACAGATAAATATTAGAAAATAATGAAGAAATCAGTTAAAGCGCCATTATCCTTCATTGAAATCTGTACAACAAAGTAAAATTGAGCTGTAGCTACGCTTAATTGTCAAATATATAGATACATATACTTCTTAGTCTTTGATTTATATTAATTTGATATCTAAGAAAATAAATATCTTTATTCTTTTAATATATGATAAAATTCCTCTCCCAATTTAAAGCTATTTTCATTTAATGATACAACATACCTGTGCAATAGATTCATCACTGTCACTGTAGCTACTTTCACTTTCACTTGTACAAAGAGACGGTGTCCAAACTCCATCACCCTCGCTTGAGATAGAATCTCGTTTGACTCTTTCGGTATCTCCTCTGTTTAAATGATAGATGTTTAAATGTGAATTCATCATGATTCCTAAATTGGGTGGAACAATCTTGTTGAGAGAAAATGACAGAATGACTTAAATTGTTTGCGTTTCAGATATATATATATCACACAAACCTGTTGTTTTTCACAGTTTTTAATCACGTGATCTGATTCAAATGTCATTGTTTTTCATTTAACGGGTCATATTGTTGAATAACATTTTTATATTGAAAAGTATGTTGTTTTTCATTTAACGGGTCATATTGTTGAATAACATTTTTATATGAAAAAGTATGTTGACAGTTGGCAGTGAAAATTGTATTGATTTGTTATCAAAAGAAAAGTATCAACATATCACATTTTAAGAAAAATGCTTGATAATAATTATTTTGTTTGAAAATAATAATATTGACGCCAAGAGTACAAAAAGAAAGAAAAATATGAAGACCTAATAGAAAGAAGTAGAGCTTGGTAAACGAAAAATTCCTACAGTAAACTGTAGCTTTACAACCAAAAAACTTAAACTATTATAGTTAAGGTTTTTGCCTTCTCATGCAAAATGAAAGAAAGAAGCGTTCAATTAAAACCATTATAAAGTAAAATAAAAAAATACCGAACTCCCAGGAAAATTCAAAACGGAAAGTCCTTTATCAAATGGCAAAATCAAAATCTCAGACACATCAAACGAATGAAAAACAACTGTCATATTCCTGACTTTGTACAGGCATTTCTCATGTAGAAAATGGTGGATTATATTTTGTTTTTATAGCTAGCTAGTGCGGGATAAAAATCTCAAAAATTGAAATTGCGGTGAAACTTTTTCCTTGTCGTTTGAACTTTTACAGTTTGTCGTCTTTATTACAATTCCATCGTCAAACGGTAACACCAGACATGTGTGGGCTTTGTGAACGCTCCACAATGCAATAAAATTTGAAAAAAACATAGAAATTCAGGTGAGACATCTACATGTTTTGTTTATTATTTACGAAATCAATACCAATACATTCTTGAATTCAGAGTGTTAGCTTCCATTATTTGGCCCTTTTAACTTTTTCAGCGTCACTGATGAGTCTTTTATAGACGAAACGCGCGTCTGGCGTACAAAACTGTAATCCTGGTATCTATTGTCAGTTTATTTCTATTAGTTACAGTCCTGTAAAACGTGGAAAAATTACGCCTTTAAAATATCAATGCTGGCAAATCAAACAACAGGCTGTTATCGACATCGCATTATATAAACAAACGAATAAACAAATTTTATGGATGAAATTACTAAACAGTTGGAGTATTATTCTTTTTTAACGTAACAATATCTTTATTGGAGTATTATACAAGTTCAATGATAGTAACATTTTACATTCTTAAAGATCAAGATCATGTGTTCTTTGCAATATTTTACCAGGAATGAACCATTTCCATATACTGTGAAATACTAGTTTATAATATATATATATATATATATATATATATATATATAAACAAGTCTAAATTGAAAACAACGTTCAAACCCATGATTGCGTTGGATAAAAACCGCAATTTTTATACGTGTGCATCCAAAAACAAATTTCTTGTTAGAGGGGTCTAAATACAGCACAAACAACATTTTCTAAAAGACCAAAAAAGTGAAAAAGTATATTTTAACAAAACGCATTTGACTAACAGGTCGAACAACAAATGTTCTTAAACCCTGCTGACTGCCATTGGCGATTGCCAAATAAACGGATCACAAGGTGTAATAAATGAATCTGTATATATATATATATATATGCTAGTCAAATGCGTTTTGTTAAAATATACTTTTTCACTCATTTGGTCTTTTGGAAAATGTTGTTTGTGCTGTATTTAGACCCCTCTACCAAGAAATTTGTTTTGCATGCACACGTATGAAAATTGCGGTTTTTATCCAACGCAATCATAGGTTTGAACGTTGTTTTCAATTTAGACTTGTATATATATATATATATATATATATATATGCATTTGAATCCTGTGATTTATCTTTTATAACTGCGGCCATGTAAGTAGGTTGGCAGGCAAAATCGAAACGCCTCCCAATCTTATTGCCCTAAGAATAATTATGGCCAAGTTCAGTGAAAATTGGCCAAGTATTTTCAGAGGATATATTTAGGCAAATTTCGCTCGGTTTTAGTTTGTAACTCATATTTGTTTTCTCTCAATCTCTTTATGACTTTTGAACAGCGGTATACTACTGTTGCCTTTTTTTTACAGCGATGACGACATTGCCTACAGACGCCTATTGAAATCATTAGCTCACGTACCACTTGGCATTTTGTACCTGCTGAATTCAATAAGTTAGTCGCGTCAACGCTAAATATATGACCGCCCTTCCTCTGTTTCTAATGTCTAATGTCACTTTGTCTCTTAGTATGACAATTAGGTTACTACCTCTTCATTACCATTCGGTATGAAGGCCAATTTCTAAACATCAACGTCCTCAGAAATGGTAATACAGGAGCTATTTTATTCAGTGTATCAAACATATGATTTTCATTTTGGTACATTAATTGTCATCTTTTTTAACACCATGATTCTAAACAAGGGTCAATATTTAGGACATTTAACTATTTAGAATTCCTGTTCTCACTTGGATACTTTCACTTCTTACTGATATGAAAATAAATAATAACATATATATTCATACTTAAATATTTGTGTTTAAAAGATACAAATAAGTATCACCTACTTATAAATAACCAGTGCATTGCATCTAACTTAATATGTTTTCTGTGATTGTCTGTACCCATGTGTAACAATTTATTATCTGTATTTGGTGTTGATAGCTGATCAAACATAATCCGATGCATTTAATTTCAAATTGTCTAATCTCTGTGTGATTAAGAGCGAACCAACTGGTAAAGAACCTTGTTTTTCGTTGAAAACCTTCCGAGATGTTTTATTTATTTTTATTTTTTTTCTTGTCTTATCAATTTGTATACATATATTCATCAAATATGAATATATGTAAATAGGCTATTACCAATGGGTCAATAGTTGTATTTGCACTGAATATTTCATAAAAATATTCTTTATAAAATTCATAACAAAATATGAATGGGTTAAAACAATATTTTTCATTCAAACAAAATTCCATAAATATGTTTTTCTGTTTATGATCACTTTGATACAATAAACAATGTAAGTAACTTTTATGACCTTATCATGCTTATTATGACCTTTCGACAAATACCACATATTAATGTTTATAAATAAGGGCAAACTATAGACAAACGAATTGATATATTGATGTTTATCTTAATTAATATCAGATGCAGTGAGCGATCAACAATAGTATATTTATAACTGATATTAAGAAGTGTATAAGGCCAAATAAAGGGTTAGAATGATAATTTTGAAACTTGTTTGGTTTGAAAATGAAATTGTAGTAAAAATTTGGAGACAAATTTTCGCTTTTTATTAAATTCTTACAGATAAAACTGTGCCTTGCGTACACAATATCAATCCTGATATCTATGATGCGTTTATTATACTTCCACATTTAGGTAGATCGGGTGTTTATGGCCATCTTAGACTGTAAAATAGCAGAAATTAATATGTCTAGATCTTAAATGAAATGTGCAAATTTTATTAGAAAAATGGAATTCATTTGTAAGACTATTCATTTAAATAAAGAAAATAATGTGTTTTATCATACGATTGATTTTTTTTAAAAACAGAATATTTTTTTCTTTAATTAAATGTTTTCCACTTTGCCATATAAATGGAAATAACTCAGATAACGTTACTTTCATAAGAGAGTAATAAATTTACCTTAATTATTTTGTAGCGAGTAAAACGAGTCCCATGAGCCCAATTTTGCTTTTATTTCCTGAAAGCACATTTTAAAAGCTATCTTCTCATATTTTGTTTTAAAATTCTATCGTTTGATTGTAGTTCTATTCCACAAAATTGGGTTTTCTATGCACAATCTACAGAAAATCTGAAGCTTGTAAAAGAGCCCCGTGACTGACCCTTGTATTATATTTTTGAAAAAAAAAACATGATTTAAATACACTTTGCGAATTATCAAAAACGATCAATCAATATTTATTTAGAACTCCCATCTACCTTAATAGATCTCTAAAGTAAACCGATTTTTATAGCTGTATTATAACAATATTTTAAAAATTAGTGCAAACTTATTTGTAAGTTAATAAAGGTCTTTTTTAACTTGGGAAGAGGGAATTTGCATGTCCCATTGATATCTGGTTAACCGATGAAATGTTCGTACTGATATGTAAATTTGTCTTAGACAATACACTATCGCTAACACCACATGCTAAGTAGACGGTACAGATGTTTAAGTCTTAATATCTTTAAAATGGACAAGCTTTATTGGTACAAAAGGGAACTTATAAACTTATAAAGGCTTATAATTCAATACGTCAGATGTGAGTTTAGTCTACATAAGAATCGACAGTGAAAATCGAATCAAACCAGTGTGAAGCCTAAATCAATAACGAAGTTGAAGAGTAGTAAAATCAAAAATTGCAAAAAAATGTGTAAATGTAGCAATAAATGTATATATTGTCATATACAACTTTTATTTTAAAATTTTAGTTGTTAAAAAATGTTATAGCTTCTATAATAATATACAGATGGGTGCATGTTTAGTCTGTACAGTAAGTTAACTTGCTCATCGGTCATTTTGACTGGTCAAAGTTAACATGCGACAGGTTTTAGGACTGTTCCGACCGGTCCTAGGGCCACAATCAAGTTAACTTGAAGAGCAGACTTGGTTCTAGGACTGTTTTTATGACTATCAAACAGTTAACTTTTGAACCAGCTCTGCTATAAGTTAACTTCGATTTTGACAATTCCGATTGAACAAGACCAGATCTTAAGTTAACTTTTTGGCTGGTCTGCTCAACTCTTATAAGTTGTGACGAGGACCGCTCTACATCGATTTATAATACATTTTTAAATGTCTTTGTTTATTGTATTTTATTTAGAGTGCCCTGATTTCTACTGTTTCTTTTTCTGTATCAACTTAGAGTTCCAGTATGTCCTCTTTTTATTCAAAATATTGAATCACTCACCAAAAGTCATATATTTTCATATCTCAGTCTGGTTTGTAAAACAAAAATATTTGACCTCATCA